AAAAAAAAAAAAAAAAAAAAAACTGATAAGGTTTACAGTTCTCCCTAGGGTGTGGAATGGAGTCTCTAATCAGGATCAAGGAAGGAATTCCAGAAGATAGAGTCAACTTTATCATCTATAGGCTATTCTGCCTACTTCTAAAGCTGTTCCCAGAAGTCACTTACAATCATATCATTTAGGTCAGACTGTCTTCAGAGTGCAAAAGATGGAAGACAGACGAGAACCAGAAATCAGAAATAACTTGATAACTGGAGGCCAAAATTATATTGTATATTAAACTGTATTGTTTCCCCACCTAGTGGTCAGAAATTAATTTATTACATTTTCTGCTACTTTACTCAGGCATTTGAAGAGGAATTGAAATGGGTCAAAGACTATATTTTATAAGTATAATTTATCATTATTAATGTTCAAATCAGCATCATTTAGTATAACACATATCTTAGTGTTTTTTTTATAATTAATTACTTAACATCCTAACTAATTCTTCATATAAAAACAGAACCATTTATGGTTTAGTATTTTGGCACACAGACAAATTACATGGTTATTAATAGTAATGAGACAGGAAAAGTGAGGTAATAAGAAATAATAAATACTGGGAAGTGACTAAGGTTAGAAAAGGAAAGCTTAAACAACTCTTATCCTGAGGTAGTTCATAGTTAGTTTAACGGTTTGGGGCTTTCGTGGTGTTTTGTTGTTGTTTGGTTTTTTCTGTGTATGTGAGGGGCTTTGGCTGTAGATGAGAGGAAAAATCAGCTTTTGCCATGATAGCCTTTTTATTTATTCAAAATTCTCAAAATTTTCTGGACTTGAAACTTGCCATATCTGTTGAATTCCATTGCCAAAGAGTCTTACCTCACTCCATTTGGAAAGCATTGGCTTAAACCATTTTTAGTTTCAAAATACCTCAGGGGTTAAGTATAGGACATGCTCCAGAGAAAGGGCCACAAGATTTGATTCTCGCTAAGAGCAGGTAGAGAACAAAGTTTTATATGTCTTTATTCTTTTTAAAAACAAAAACAAACAAAAATATTTCTGATAATTAAAGCTAAATACATGAATAACCTGGCTTGGTGCCCTTAGCTCAGCAGCTGGGGCACCAGCCACATTCACAGTCAGTCAGGCGGGTTCGAACCCAGCCTGGGCCTGGTAAACAACAATGACAACTGTAACAACAACAAAAATAGCTGGGCATGTGGTGAGCACCTGTAGTCCCAGCTACTGGAGGCTGAGGCAAGAGAATCACTTAAGCCCAAGAGTTTGAGGTTGCCGTGAGCTGTGATGCCACATCACTCTACCAAGGGTGACTTAGGAGACTCTGCTCAAAAACAAAAACAAACCCAAAAAATTCATGAATAACCTACAAAGTATAACAGTCAAAAGCCTTACATT